ACCATGGGTGACCCTGCTGGTTATTTAAAACACCGGTGGCATAGCCCTCAGAATCACAGCAACTCAAACCACCACAGCACGATAGACAGACGAGTGGTGGCCGTTTGGTTTTATGTCTATACTGTCTCTTTAAATTTCGATGTCAATCTTGATACATTCCTGATATAATCAAGATACAATCAAGATGTTCTCTCCTAATCCTATCAATCCTGGTACAATCAAGATAAGCTTTCCCACTACACTATAGGAGTCAGCAAACTTGCAGAGGCCAGAAAGAAAATACCTTAGGCTCTGCTGGCCATTTAAGGTCTTTGCCACATAGTCTTTGGTTTGGTTTTACAACCTATATCTAAAAATCTTTGGGATCACAAGTAGTTCAGAATTTAGTTTTTCAGAGTTTAGAAAGGTAATTGGCATGTGTCATATACTTTGGAGTCCTGGTGTGGCACTGTGGGATAAAGCACTGAACAGCAAGGTCAATTTGCACCACAACGTGGTCTGATCGAACTCACCAGCCATTCCTTTGGAAATCCTCTCAAGGGTCACTGTGAGTTAGAAACAACTTGATGGCACTTAATAACAACAATATTTTTAGGGCTTCAAAAAGTTCATGAAAAAAATTCCATTATCTTTTAATTCCCTTATTATAGCACATTAATGTTAATGTAGCACAATGTATTTAGTAGGATAATTACAGACTCTAACTTTACGTCAGTTCAGGCTAAGCAGTACCCCCAGATGAGTTTACTGCAAACCAAAACTAAAACAAAAGACCTTTTGTATTCAGAGTGTAATGGGTTTAAGAATTGTAATTAAGGTATGGCAGACTGAAATTGTTTCTGAGAAATATATTCAGGAATTTAAGGAACTTGAGAATGAGTTTTTTAGAGTACCTGTCATTTGCAAAAGGAACACTGTTGGCACAGCAGTTAAAGCACTTAGCTGCCAACCCACTAGCTAGTATGTGGAAGATGAGGCGGTCTGCTCCTATAAACACTTAGTCTCAGAAACCCTTTGAGGCAGTTCTGTTGTGTCCTATAAAGTCACTAGGAGTCGGACTCTACTTGAAGGCAATGAATTTAGTTTTTTGGTTTTGGGTCATCTGTAAATCAGGGACTTCTTCTGCAATTAAACACATATTTTATCTTATAAAGTGCTATTATTTTTTTCCCTAATAGTGACAAACTTCATTATATATAATCAGTGACATTTAAGATGAACTGAGTTTTTTATGATGAATCTTTTTACTGCACAGTGTGTAATATTTGCCCATTTCCCCATTTAGTTCCTGGATGAAATTTCATCTACTGAAACTAAAGAGTCCAGTGGTGCAAGTGAACCCGTGCATCTGAAAGAAGGGTAATTCCATGAACTTAGATCTTAAAGTCATACTTCAGTAGAAACTTTAAATGCATTCAAGGAGCACAGGTCTATGAATGAGGAGATCTGGGGCTACGTTCTGTGCTAGGACTGCCTACGGACCATCAGTCAGGTTATATCACCCTCACTGTGCTGTAATGTAAGATTTACCTGTGAGATATACTTGGTTAACTGGACATAATTCCTTGGCCCCAGAATTGTTTTTAAACTACAGTGAAACTAGGGGTTATTAGAATGCATTGAAAGAGTAACAACGCTATTCAGTCCTAGAGTGTTAGTATTAGAGTTTCAGAGAGAAAATCACCCATTTGGCCATTTGGGGGGGCAGCTTTTATAGCATAAATATTCATACAAATGTTGATTAAAGACTTTATTCCTTAACATGGCCAAAATAAATGCAGGAGTCGGGTGCTAAAGACGTGATTCTTTGTTTGACTGCTTAACTCTGTAAGCTAAATGTTTTCATCTGTTGTTTTGGCAGTGAGATGTATAAAAGAGCTCAGGGAAGAACTCGGATTGGAAAAAAGAATTTCAAGAAACGGTGGTTTTGCTTAACCAGCAGAGAGCTCACCTACCACAAGCAGCCAGGTAGTTGTGTTTATGCTTTATTGAGGGACCTTTTCCTGGTTTTAGATGATGATTTCTATTTTGCTTCTCGATGTGATTCTAGCGAATCTTTTCACTAATATTATTGTTTCTAGTGTCTCACAGTGATACACATACACTGAGAATGTAATAAATATTTGACAGGAGGCAACATGTAAATTACATTTGTCTCACATATTAAATTTTTGGTATTGATGGTGTTCTACAATGTTCTCTGTTTTGTTTTGTTTTTTAAATATCCCTGTCAAAGCCCTGAAGTCATAGTCAACATAGAAGAAGCAAATTAGACTCCCTCAGAACGTGGAAGTTCTTTAACTCCCCGTGCCAAATTAGTAGGAATCAACACCTAGAAAATGAAAATAGCTCAGTGATTTGCTGGAAAGCATCTGCCCCAGATTCCCACAGTAATACCTTAGCTTATGATCCTGTGTAGTCATGTGTCTCCTAGTCTGTTAGCCAAACTATTCAAGATGATTTTTCATAATTCTTCAGAATGGCTTAGCCATAAAGGCTACATATGTCCAAATGCATTAGTAAGACATAAGAAACAAAATGCATTTTTTTTTAAGTGCTCAGATTATTTATTAGGACATAAAAATATCCAAATGGCAAAGATCACCAGGTTACATGTTTGCACTTTCAAACTACATATTTTTTAAACCAGGCATATTTTTTGAAGTTATAACTTAATGTTGATTGATTAGTATATAGATGCTCTTGTTTGTGTCTAACAAAATTTTTTAATTAACGTCATAATATGTACATTATGCTTATCTTAGCAATACATTTAAATGAAATTTAAGATAAGATAGTCGTTGCTCATTAATAAATGAAACTTCTTTCATTAAAGCACTTGCTAATCCCAACATTTAAAAATATTTTTGATTCAATGAATGTAAAACTAATGTTCTCCCATGTAGTCTATCACATAATTCACAATAAAACATTTAAAAAATCTTTTTGGTTCATGATGTTTTTAAGTGCTGTTGAGTTGGTTCCAACTCATAGTGACCCTGTATAGAATTTCCAAGGAGCGGCTGGTGGGTTGCAGTTCAAACTGACCTTGCAGTCCAGTGCTTATCCTATAGCTTGTTCATATACAAACGTAGAATTTTGTCTGTCATTTTATAGTGTTTCTAGATCCAAAGTTTATCCACAATTGTCAAGATAAGAACCTCTGTTCTTTACAATGATGCCAAAAGAATAAAACTCTGTAGAATTATTGGATTACTATAGGTGCAAATGAGAGTCCTGGTGGCGCTGTAGTATAATGTTTTGGACCACAAGGTCAGCAGTTCAAACTCACCATCTGCTCCTTGGAAACCCTACACAGGGACACTGTGAGTCGAACCAACTTGAGGGCACTTAACAACAACAGCAGGCACAAATAGAAGTGCGGTGGGTCTGTAGGACAAGCTGGGATCTGCGAACCACAAGGTCAGCGGTTCGAGTTCACCATCCACTCCACAGGAGAAAGATGAGGCGTTTCTGCTTCCACCAAGATTTATAGGGTTGCTATGAGTCAGAACCAACTCTGTGTGTAATAACAGGTGCAAATTGGTTACTGTGTTTGGCTATTTGCAGAGGTGTCTCAGAAGAAAGGCATTAAAAACCCTGTGGAGCACGTTTCTGCTCTCCATGAGTCAGAATTGACTTGCCAGCAACTGGTTTAATATAGGTATAAAATAGATAGATGAAATTGAGTCCTTCAGAAATTTAGCATGTTGAAATAGCTTTGGAAGAGTGAGCTCTATTAAATGAATTTCAAGGTGATTTACTAGAACCTACAGTTATATGTATCCATACTTTTTGTTTTAACCATTTTGATGGATTTTTCTAAAAATGTATTACATGCTTCCTTGCCTTCTAAAAAAGAATTAATTGAACGTAAGTTAACATTTTCTAGATGACTTGGGGCTGTCATTGATGATACTAAGTTTTCTATTGTGCTGATTTAATGATGTCTTCAGGACTGCTTAAGGGTGTGTGCAGCTGTTTACTCCCCAGCTAAATGGCTTGGACTGTTGTGCTTTGTGTGTTCCTGTGCTTGCTTTATGGAGTTTTTCTCTGTCCCCTTTAAGTTGTATAAGCTTCCCCTTTATCGTCAGAGCATCACCTTAAATTTCTTGCACTATCAGTGAACCGAAATGTGACATCTCACACCCATCTCCTACACCCAACTCCATTTTTTACTGCTAGTCCTAGTGTGGTGCTGTAGGATCATGCACCAGACCGAAAGGTCTGTTTGGACCGTAAGGTCAGTGGTCCAAACTCACCAAGCCGTTCCTGGGAAACCCTATACAGGGCTCCTATGAATTAGAGCTAACTCGATGGCACTATACAACAACAGCAATGTACTATGAGTGAAGATACAAGTACCGTGTTGGATAAAATTATGTGTAATATTAAAAGGCTTTGAGTGGAGACTACAGGACTTTCCCCTATAAAATACGTAAGTTTTGCCGTCTCCTTTTGGTTGTTCAGGGAGTGTTTTCCTTAACTTCCTCTTTCCTAGCTGTTTTCGGGATACCCATACTGCTAATTAAGTAGCAGCCTCTTGTGACACATGTTAGTGTATTATTTTGTTGTCTGAAAGAGTACTTCCCGAATTTTCTATAGCATAACTCTAAATCGCTGAGACTTTCTGGACATTAGTGCTCTGACCTAAGTGTTTCTGCCACTTCTAATCAAAGTAATGTGATCTTTTCCCAGTTCACAGGAAAAGGAATTGATAGAATTTTTCTCAATAAGCTCTTAAATTTCTGCTATATGATTAGCTAAATTTTAACAAGTAATAGCAACTAATCTTTGATACAGCTAACATAAAGTGTGATAAATGAATATTATAGGGCACTCAGTTATCAGTCATGATTTCTTTAATAGTTTTTATGGACTTAGGTGCTTGTAATCATAATTTTATATTGTATGTTTAATATAGTCATTTTTTTATAACACAGTTTTCCTGATTGTAAGCTGGAAGGAAAGAAACTTGATAACCTAGTTTCTTGCCTCTTCTAGCCTTACCTTTGGCATTCTTCAACCAGCTCTTGGCAGTTCCTTTAACATGTTGCCTTTTTCACATTCTTGCTTTTGTATGGATTCTACCTGGAACTCTCTTTTCTTCTTCACATGTGTAATATGTTGCCTTTTAAGCCTCATATCAGATATCTTCTCATTATGCAAGATGTTTATAAGCTTCCAGCTTCCCCTATTGTATTTCTTTATAACATCCTAGAGATAATATCTATCCTACTTTGTTATTACTTTTGTCTGTTTTCTTCCCCTAGACTTTAGATCTTCAATTGTAGAGATCTTTTTTTTTTACTTACTGGCATAAAGGCATTTATGAAATGTTTCTAGTGATTGCTCTTCTTCAAAGAGTGCCATATTTTCCAGATAGATGTACTATCTTAATTATGTTAGGAATTACCATTCTGGGCTTCTAAATTTTTTACCAAGTATACTAGCATTAGTGTGTTAACTAATTCATCTTTGATATTCCGTTCTTTAAGTAGTAAGTATTTCCTACTACTGAGGACCTGTTATATACATAGCTGCATATGCAAGCTTATACAACTGGCCTATGATATCAAATGTTCAAGTTCACTTAGTCTACTGAAAATATAAAAGAAACTTCCACAGTGTTTTAAACATAAATGTGTAATATACTTAGGTTGATTGAGCCTTCACCTAGGCAGCAAGGTAGCTCTATATAGGATAAGCACAAGATTGGCAGTGTGAAGCCCATCAACCACTCCACAGAAGAAAGATGAGGCCTTCTGTTCCTGCAAAGATTTATAGCCCTCGAAAACCCTATACAGGGTCACTGCCTGTTATAACTGACTGGACATCACTTAACAACAGAACAACAGCAGTCTTCACCTGTTCATATTTCCACACATGAAATTTTCCTTGTTAGCTAAAAAATTAAACACGTCAAGAACTCAGTCATGCATTTATTTAGCAGATATTTTATGAATGCCTTATTATATGCTCTGGTAGCTTTATGGGATACAAGTTGGGCTGGTAATCACAAGATTTGCAGTTTAAGTTTACCAGTTCCTCCAAGGGGGAGAAATGAGGCTTTCTGCTCCCATAAAGATTTGCAGCTTCAGTAACTCTACACAGAATCATAGTGAGTCGAAATCAACTCCATGGCCTGCAACTACCACCACCACTATATGCTGAGCACTTCCAGACTCTGGGGAAAGACAGCAGCATTGAAAAAGACAAAGCCAAATCCCTGCCCTTTCGTGGATCTTATGGTTTCCTAGTGGTGGTGGTGTTAGGTACATCAGCTCCATCTTTCCAGCAGCCGTGTAAAGAGTTTCTGAGAAGTAGCTGATGGATTTATACCATTAACCTTGTGGTAAGTACTCCAGTGCTTATCGTACAGCACCACACCAGGACTCCAGAGTCACTAATGTTGTTACGTGCTGTTGAGTCAGTACCAGCTCACAGTGACCCTATGCACAACAGAACATGAAACACTGCACAGTCCTGTGCCAGCCTCACAGCTCGTTGCTTCTGAGCTCACCACCGCTGCCACTGTGCTAATCAATCTTGTTGGGTGTCTTCCTCTTTTTCTCTGACTTTCCACTTTTATCAAACATGATCCCCTTCTCCAGAGACTGGTCCCTCCTAACAGTGTGTCCAAAGTATCCGAGATGAAGTCTGACCATCTGGCTTCCAAGGAACATTCTGGCTCTACTTCTTCCAGCACAGATTTGTTTGTTCTTTTAGGCAGTCTACGATACTTTTAATATTCTCCTCCAACACCATAACTCAAATGCATCAATTCTTTATTTACTGTCAAACTTTCAAATGCATATGAGGTTATTGAAATTACCATGACTTGGGTCAGGCACGCTGTATTCCATTAACTGACATCTTTGCTCTTCAGCACTCTAAAGGGATCTTGTGAAGCAGATTTGCCTAATATAGCACATCGCTTGATTTCCTTAAATGTTGATCTTTGACAACTT